TATATATATATATATATATATATATATATATATATTATTCAATCCGTCATTCATTTTAAGTATGTATTATTTTTTTAAGATAATCTTATTAAATTCGGTAATAATTTCATATCAATTAATGATAAGGTAAAAAAAAAATATAAGTTTAAGTTAAATTCATAATTTATTTATTAAGATCGTATTGAAGTCTATCTAACACATGTTATTATGCCATACACAAATATTTAGGTGAGTATGAATGAAAATAAATCAAATCAGACTATATCTTGAAAATCACTTATTTGTAGAGCTATGATAGTAGAAACCACGCTAAGTACCAGTTTTGGCACTAAGTGTCAAAATAACAGAGAGCTGAAAGAGCTATTTGTAACCCCCATACTGAGTGTGGCTCAACCAAAGAGTTCATATTACTCTCTATAAGCCATACACCGAGCGCCTAGCTTGGGGTTGAGCGCCAGTTACTTTGTTGTGTTTTCTTCCTTTTCTATTTGATGAATTCTATTTGTGTAATGTAAATCTTATGCTACTTCTCTCTTGTGATCTATGATTGACAATGACGCGAAATTCTTGTGTTATTCAATATTATTTTTAATGAATATAATCGACGATTATATGATGTGAGATAAGTTGATACGACAATGCATAGAGTCTTGATTTACATGCATCATTTGCATAAATATTTTTAACCGTACAATATGGAATACATCGCCAGGGAAGGTCCCCTTCTGTAAAAGCTTAGGAATTAGTCACTGGGGATAACTCGATTTGTAAGTCCCTGTTTCGCTCATTGTGTGCATAGAATGTATCTTGCGTGGCTTAACTATCCTGACTAGATCCTGATAGTATATTCTTCTAGTGAGAGTACGCAGAGGGTGTGACCCAACATGTATTCCTATACTACTATATGTGTATTGCTAGCGACAATTCATTATGTGATGTTTTATTGGCACCACATGCATCATAATATGTAGTCTGTGTCCATTATATGTGCATTTTAGTATTATATGTTAATTAATTTTATGTCATGGGTGATTGGAGTGTGATATTATTGTTGTTTTGTCTATGATATGTACATATATATGTCTTGTTTGTGTTTGACTATTTGGTGTACATTCCTACACCGTGAGCTAGAGTGAGATGTTTCTCACACCCTTTCTCTTTGTGTTGTTTTTCTTAGTTATTATGCAAGTGATCATCAACATGAAGCTAAGAATGTTGACGATCGATGAAGGTTAGGCTTCAATATTGGGCTTTGCTTTAATAGGACATGTGACATTGGGGTGTAGATAGGATTAGATTAGGATGTTGTTTCTATCAATTTATTTTTGAAAACCTTAATTTTATTTCTTTTGTAATTTCCATCAATTATGTTACTTTATTCAAATTTATGAATGTGGTACTCTATATCCGAATATGCTTAATATTTAATTATTAAGGAACATGTTATTCGAACCTTTTTATTTGTGTTATAGTATGTAGGGTAGAGAGTATCACAACTATGACAAGTGCTTTAAGGCCCACCACAACATTTTTCCTTGTCTACCATTGGGGTAGGTGACCAATCGACCTTTTTTATTTCAAGCCTCTTTGTGCCTTAACAATTGAGGCTAAAGAGTTGAGGATTATTGGAATGATTGACCAATTAACCTCTTAATCCCAAGGCTCTTTGTGCCTTAAGATTTGAGGTTGAAGGGTTGTGTACAACTATAGCAGGTGGCCAACGACCTTTTAATCCCAAGCCTTTTCACCCCTCAACACTTGTGATTGAAGGTTGTGTACTTCAGAGTATCTTTTGTATCTACAATTCACTTTTCATTGCTAAATATAAGGAATTTGTATTTTCTTGTCACTTTTGGGATTTTGTTAAAATATTATTTTATATCTAACATCACTGTAGTATATAAGAAAAAAAATTTGTTAGACATTCAATCATTTTTTTTGGTTTAACAAGGAGTTATAACATTTTCTTATCGAGTCAATTTTTATAGAGATAAAATTGTACATTTGATCACAACTCTATATCTAAGTTAGAGATCCTGAGTATCCACCGCCGATAGCAGTGATTAATCTCCTCGCTACGTTGGACGCACCTCAAAGGGTGGAATAACTGACCCCAAGATTTAACACGGCTACATACACAAGACAAGATTCGAACCCCTGACCTTGCTTAATCGTGGATTAACCCCTACCGCTGAACCAAACGTTTGGGGTTATTCAACATTTTATTTAACACCTATGAAGAAAATATAAATATAATAAATAATATAACGTGACAAGAAAATAAAAATAAAGAGAGTTGGTGGATAATAACGAACTTTTTTTGTATTAAAAATGACTATAATTTAAATATTTTATATAGATATTAAAAATATAAAATGTATACTTTTTTTTATACAATTTTATTAAAATAATTCCACTCTTTTAATAAATAATTATTTTTAATTATAGTGATTGAAAAAATTTATGAATAAATAAATTTAAAAAACGAATATTACATTAAAAACTAAAATTACACGATTTTAAGATGATGGAAATATCAATATCTAAAAACATTATTCAATGAAAAATCCTTATAGGTTTTGGGTAGTATTAATGAACATTGATTAATATACGTTGAATTCATTGTTAGCATAATTATAGGTTTACCTTGTAGAAGTCCTTGTGGCTGCGAGTGGTTTACCATACAAGTGCCAAATAGGAGTAGTTGAAGGTGAGGAGCATGTGTTTAGTGTCAAGTGCGAGGTGAACGGAATTGAAAACGAAGTAAGAACATAGAAACATATGGTCAAAGTTTGTTTGCTATGAAGGGCTATAATTTTCTGTGTTTTCCACCTAGTGAACACGCTAATAAAACTCCACAAAGTAGGAAATAGACAGGGTCCATTAATAAGTGACACAAGGGAGGTCATTATATGCACAGATACCATAGCATAGCATAGGGGCAAGGAGAAATTCACTCGGATCTTGCCGGACCACAAAAATATAAATATATATATAAGAATTGATTTTGATTGATGTGAGCTACCTTATGCTTAGACTTGGGTGTTGCCTCTATTAGGGGAATGAGAACACCATACTTTTACCCAAAGTTTTTATTTTTCAAAGAATGTTTCCTAACTTATGATTTTTATTTTGCTTATAAGGGAAATAAAAAAAAAAATAGAGCCAAAAATATGATGTTTAAATGGACTAAAATTATATAAGAAAAAGTAGAAAAGTTTCTCATAACTCATATAAAGGAATAAATTGGATAGTAAAAATAAATAATTTCAAAAATATTATTATATTAATTAAAAAATTAATCTTTTATTTCATCATTTTCCATTACACAAAACATTTATTTTATACTAAATGAATATCAAAATAAAATTATTTTAATTAATTTGTGATTTGTAATTTAGACAAATATGTTAATCATAATTAGATTTAATATTTAAAAATATAAATATTATGTATTTAACATTTTATTTTCTAAGTGTTGTTTTTCACATTTTTTTTTCTATTGATAGAATGACTCAAATATTAATTTTATGAACTTGACATAAAATCAATTTTGAGAATTTGAATCATTCCATATTTATTTGACTCCTTTCATCATTTGATTACATGAATGCATAAAATTGGTGAATATACTAAAATTTTCCCCACTTTATATAAATAGAGGTGTGAGAATAAGTTAGGTTATATCAAATTTTGAATATATAAGTTATGTATATTTTATAAAATTAAAGTTTAAATATGACCTATTATTTATAAATATAATCTAACCTTTTTAAAAGTCATACCTACTAGGATATTTAAATTAAATTATAAATTCTTATTTAAAATCCAACCTATTCTCCTCTCTACACACACAAAAAAAAAAAAATTAAAAATTGATCATGAGTTCGTAACTCAACTTTCAAGTGCAGCTGTTCTCAAACATTGTTCGGATCCTCATTCTAGTCTTCTAGGCGCCCTCTTGCATGCACTGACAAAAAAAAAACTGCTAAAGTCCTATAAAAATTATAGTAAATTCTAAGTTCACTTGCCCCAAAGATGTTTTATTTCTAAAGTGATACAAACATGCTTGATAAATTAAATGAATACATTTTACACAATTTAACTAATATTCTTAACTAAACTCTTTAAGTTTTTAGGCTATGTTGAAATTGATGAAATGAAATGAAATTTAATTATTAATTTGATAAAGTTTACTTTTAGTAAAAAAATATTAAACATATTATTTTACTAAATTTGGTTTGGCAGTTGGGGTCATTTGACCCTATGTCCAGATCTTTATTGAATTGAGATTCTTATTAAAGAAAAAAGATATTAAAGTAGATACAAGGAAAGCTATTCGTAGTGTTTGAAGAAAAGGGGAAAACTTGCGAAGACACAGTCAAGTGGTCCATTACCAGATATGAAAGAGGAGAATGCTCATGTGAGGTTTGAAAGTTCTTTAAAAGATTAAGAAATTTTTAATAATTAAGTGAAGGACTTAATCTTATAAAAAACATTAATTTTTTTTAAAAATCAAACTCAATTTATATAAAAATATGAAACTTTGGTATTTGGTGTATCGACATAATTTTATTCTTAAAAAACATTTGAATAAATTAAAAATATTTAAATACGATTTTATACTTCAATTTTTAAGTAAAGCAATATGAGAATAAATAGTAATTTTGAGTTTTGACAAAGTGGTTGGAATATGCAGATGATCTGACATTATGTGGGTATGGGTAGTCCCACGCGGCCGCACAACATATTTTATTTATTTATTTATTTAGATTGAGAAAGACAGAGAACATTGTTGAGGAGGCAAAGTTAGGAAAAGTGAGGGGTCCACAGAGGCTAGAAAAATCCACATCTAAATTGAGTTAATTGACGTGAAATTCTTGCGTGTTGTGGCTACAACAATTTCTCTCGCACTTTCTTTGTCCGTACTGTTATTTACTTGGCACGTAGCAGCAGCAGC